GGTCAGAAAACGCCTTATATGTTTCAGTAACCAAGGAAAATATGAATCTGCCAAGGTATTTTCCTCATAAACTAAAAAAAAAAAAAAAAAAAAAGCAAAACAGTATTTTGATGACGTCATACATATTTAAAGATGCTTGCATTTAAATCTAAAAGTCAGAAAACTCCTTAAATATTTCAATAACCAAGGAAAATATGAATCTGCTTAGGTATTACAATGGTATTACTCATCCAGTAAAAAAAAAACCAAAACAGTATTTTGATGACGTCATGCGTATTAAAAAAAATAATAAGTTTCATTGAATTCGGCAGGACTGAAAACACATTAAATACTCTTAACATGAACCTAACCAGTATTTTATGAATATTGACTTTTGGCACACTTTGAACCAATTTTGGCCCACTGTGCGACGCTGTTTAGGCCCTGTTTAAGATCCAATTCAACTTGAACTGCTAGCTTACGTGCTAAGAGGCGTCTTTTGCGTTTGATGTTCTTGACCAATCAGGGTTACAAACAACCTTCCTTTATCATCCTGTTGTATGGGAGTTGGCTTTGGTGGCTGGTCGACTTTGACCTCGACATTGAACGTCAACCCTAAAGTACAATTGTATCATATAATAATGTTAAAGATACGACGTAGTATTTCATAATTATTTATGATTTTCAAAATTGACACCAGTGATCATAATTTTATTAATACAGAAAGAAGTTGATCGACAAGTACGATTCATGAGATCATAGCTATTTCTTCAAATCTCTGCTAAGCTCTGGTAAACATTGACTAAAAAGACTGCACATTAAAAGTAGTCCAGTATATTTTTGAGTTTGTAAAACTATGGTTTGAGATGGGTAGTTCGACCATTGATGTTTTCAAAGAAGCAATGTTTCCTTACCACAAGAAAAATCTGCCAGTACGACCGTAGCAATAACGAGCGTCAGGAACTTCATTGTGCAATTATACTTTAAAAACAATATTTATCTAATTAGTATACTTTGCCTACGAAAGCGTAATTGCGCCTTATGGCTTCACCGTTTGTCAACAAAATGAATGATTAATTTGCAAACAGTAATAATTACATGCAACATTTATCTGTTAACTAGTCTTCAATATTTAAACAACTTAAGTGCCGTTATCTTTAACCGTATGCTGCTTTCCCGAGTACTAATTAGGTGACTCGATCTGGAGAGATTGGTGTATTCATTTCTTGTCATTGTAAGATATAAGTATATTATTAAATATAAGTATACAGTAGTTTGTTTTTTTGTTGTGTATGTTAATTTCCTTTAACTGTTCATACACGTTCGCCCAACATAATGACAACATGGAATTTCACTTGGACGAGCAATCAGAAATACCGGGATGGTGTCAAGCGGGGGATAGTTCTACCTTTAAGAGTTTTTTCTTTCTTTGATTAGATTAAGTTTTTTCCCTGTTGCTAAAAATTAATTATCTCATCATTTAAAAGTTTACATGCTAAAAGTTTTACTTCCAATGTAATTTCTTACATCTCATATTTTCATACATTGTTATAAACATACTTATTTTTTTTCTATTGTAATCACACATGTGAATATGAATGTGACTTTGTGAAATAAATTGAAATAGAAATCACTCGGAGGCCGACATAATGAATTATAGTCAAGAGAGATTTACTTTTGTTCCTTTTTAAATGTTTTGCTTTAATCTTATTATAGTTATTAGTGTTATATTGTTATAAGGAAGTATGAAAGAGTAAAAAGTTGAATTGCGTTCTTATCATCATCCTGCTCATCACAATAAATATCATCATAATCATTGATAATCATTATTGAATCGTCATTATTCTACGTAAAACGTCACCATCATCGGTTAATACACTTTTTCTTGTTTTATGTGACATTAAACAAAATCTAATTGATCTTAGTACTTGTGGGAAAAGACGTACTTATATATATCAATAATGTGGATATCTAATCGACAAACAATATCATTGCATAATAGATTGACAAACACTTAAAAATAAAAGTAGAATATGTTTATTCAAATTAATGCTGAGAAATTTGTCACAACGTTAGCAAATCAATCGTTTGATAGGCCTAAACTTAATTAGATTTAAAAATACTCGATGTGTAATGATATGGATTCATCAAGGGGTGTCCATTTGCCGAGTCAGTCGCAGTTCACCAGTCCAATGACAATCATTTTGAATAAAAATTGAAGCTAATACATCGGACATATTATATGAAATTGTCGCAGTTTGTGACAGGGAATAAGGCAACAACGTCTTCATTCGCTTTGATCTTGTCCTCCTTAGCACCACACATGACAACACTAAAAAAGTAAACATTAACTATATATTAAAGACGTATTGTATATTATGATACTCATAGTCATCATTTTCATTATCATTAGTATCATTGTTAAAATTGATATTACTGTTATTTGTATAGGCATGTTTTATGTAATTATTTATTAATGTTAATTATACAATTATCAAATTATTAACATATTTATATATTTATTAGTATTTTACTTTTGATATTAATGTAATGATAAAAAATAACAATAAATAATAATAATAATAATAATAATTAATACATTAATTATACAATTATCAAATTATTAACATATTTATATATTTATTGGTATTATACTTTTGATATTAATGTAATGATAAATACTAATACTAATAATAATAATAATAATAATAATAAAATAATAATAATAATAATAATAATAATAATAATAATAATAATAATAATAATAATAATAATAATAATAATAATAATAATTAATAATAATAATTATTATTATTAAGAGAGAATTCAATAGTCATCCTACCTTTTAGAATCTTCTCCATTAGTGATAATAATCTGGTGAACATAAATCTCTGGGTTAGTCCACACATCCCAATCCCAAGGCTTATACCAATCTGGATCGTACTCCCACTCAAATAAGACACCGGATAACGCACCTGGATCCACATCTGATGCCGCTACAAAGGTGTAAGACTCCCCTGGTTTCAGGTCCTGTGATTTCCTGAAACCAATTAATCAGTTCTGAGCCAGTTAGTTGATCTTATATCTAACATTGATTGGTCGGTCGGTCGTTCACTTTTTCACTCTCTTGATCGGTCGTTCGGCATTTCTGCAATTCAGTCCGTTGGTCGATTGTGGTCAATCGATCAATCAATCAATCAATACATTATGTAAATTACACTGTTAACGGTATACACTAGCTCAGATTCAGTTTAGAGTCAGACAGTCAGTTAGTTTGTAAGTCAGGTAGTCTGTCAGTCAATCCGTCAATCAGTATGTCAGTTCTTCAATGATTGGTTCATCTAATCGATGGTCTATCGATCGACCGGTTGATTGGTCGGCCTTTAATAATAATAATAATAATAATAATAATAATAATAATAATAATAATAAATTATTATTATTATTATTATTATTATTATTATTATTATTATTTAACTGAAATTAAGGTGCAAAAAGAATTTTGAATCAAGTAAAATAATCCGTCTTTGGTAGTAGTTTGGTGTGTTTATGTATGTTCATGTTTTGTTGTTTTGCTTGTATCTGTTAAAGTGGTGTTCTGTTCTCACCTCTTATTGATTTGATTGAATTTTGTATTTTGAGAATTTGTCCATTTTTGTGGTTTTTATTTTAATTGTTCTGGTATATGTATGAAGAAATTGTTTTAATGAAATTGTTCTATTGTTTTAAAATTTTTCTAGGCTTACTACTTTACGTCTCTGTTCAGGATGTTTTTTGAATAAATTGAAATTGAAATTAATTGAAAATGAAAATTGAATTTTGAAATTTGAGCAATAAACCAGAATTTTCTCCCCAAATCCTTCGAGTGAATATCGGTTAGACCATGTGTTACTTCGCATACTTTCATAGGATTCTAATTCATTCATTAACATTGCATCATGAAACAATATTGGGAACATATAAAACTATTGTTGTTTTAATTACATTTCTGCTGATTTAATATTATAAATGAATAGTATTTGCATTGCAAATGATTGCTATAAATTAGTTCTAATTCTACTGTAAATAATTATGTCAATAAACAAAACTATTAAGAATTGTATGTCATCGTTGTGAAAACATGCCAAAATCCCCGAATAAGGGGACAATTCCACGTTTTTGGTTAGTGTCCCCTGAATAGGGGTATCCCTATTCAGGGTCCCGTAATAGGGTTCTACTGTATCTGCATCCTGTACGCATTATTAAATAAAATGATTACACAATTTTCATCTCACTTGGTCAATAGAATCCTTTGAGACTGGTCCTTGTATCCCATGAGTGTTACATATAAACTCCCCTTTTCAGTACTGCTTTTTATCCAGCCAGGATCATCCACAAATACTTCAAATTTGAAATTGTAGCCTGTAGAATATATAGAATACCATTACAATATACCACCGCTAATCGGTACATATTTCTATCGGTTTGTTTTGTTGGACATGGAAGTATAAGTTTTGTATTACTACTCATACACATGTCTATCCCTAATTCGAATGCTTACATTATAATATGATTAATACTGCTTTGAACCCATCCATATCTAAAACACTGTCAAATTGAGCGGCTTGGGTGGCTAAGCCTAGCCGGGAATTCAGTGTGCCCGGCGGTCGGATCGTCTGCTTACGCGATACTAGAAAATGCATGCACGCCACTTCGCGCACAACGGATCGTCGTTTTTAATGACGATCCGTTCAGCCTGCCGCTGAGAATCAGAACGGCGTTGTCTATCGCTCACAGTGAGCTAGCGGAGTTCGAGTCGTTGGCTGACGGTAGTACTACCTTCTTAATGCAAAATTTTTTTCTAGTTCATCAAATGTCAGGACAAGACATTAAAACAATTCATCATTTTTATTATTATTTTATTGATTAAATTTAAGAAAACCAGATGATTATAAATGAGCGTATTATTTATATATTATATATTTATTTAATACCATTACTTTACCACAGTATGATGATTTTCCGACTGTCTCCAAATAGTAAATTACATTAGCTGTACTTCCGACAGGCTTATGTTTAATCGAGTCCAAACCAAGCCGGACGCCGTCGCTTCCGTCGAAGCACTCGCCGCGTGAGAAGTGTTCGTAGCCACTCTTTCCGTACCCTTTTGACGTACATTCATACGCCCTGAATGGACATTTTGTGTTGATTGATTCAGTGAAGTACTCGTATGAACGCACGTGATTGCACGCAACGTATTGAACACCGGCTGAAAAAAAAAATAAATGAAAAAATAACAAGAATAAATGATAAATACTAATAGTTAATTATTTAGAATTTTGCAAAGTTGTGTGTACTTCCTTGTATTTATTTTTATAATATTAGGCCTATAGGAAGAAAAAGGGAGCACCCATTATTTCCGATTGTCTTCATCTTCTGTTTCTTAATAAACTACTGAACAGTAAAATACTGTAACAGTACAGTCAAATATTTTTTTCGGGTAGTGAATTTGGGTAAATTCACTACCCAGAAACACTCCCCTATCGCTGCTACTGCCACTAAACAAATCATAATTGGATTGCATCAAGGGCATTTTATATTATATCATTTCTGTGTCTCTATTTCTAATACGAACACTATTAGGCCTATAATTATTATTATGGCTTGCTTAGTACATTACACTTATGTTTGTAGAAACTGGTATTTTACCGTCGTATATACCGCCCTCTGTAATAAGACCAGAAACAAGACCTTGGTCACAACCGGTTTGCTCGAACCCGCCGTTCGGGTAAAAGTCCATATGTCCAACAGGCACATATATCCCGTACCCTTACGTAGTGAAAAACACACACTCATTAGATAATGATACACCAACAATTAATGTCTATAAATAAATATATTTGTCTCTGGGTAACATTGTTAACATTGGATTATATGATAGAATCTAACGGGATAGTATTCGTTCGTACCGCTTAAGATGCACACGAACGAATACATAATAAACATAAATAAAATAGTCTTTACACTTTATATTATTTACCAAACGTGTATATCGGATCCGTGTCAGTGTGAATTATGTCCACGAAAGTTGCATCCGTTGGATCTAGACGCACAACAATATCCATGCCTTCAAAATACGGTCCTGCCGGATCCATTCCTACACAAAAAACAATAATTTGTATTTAGCACTCTACCATACTCTTTAGTACAGTGTTATTATTATTTTGTTGTGTTCTTTTTTTATTTTTTTATTTTTATTTTTAATGTAGGAAAACCAATAGGAAAACCTCTTCTTTGATCGAGTTCCTAGTCCACATATCAAGCGCCCTGAGCATCTTACATTAGATGGATATGTGAGCTATATAAAACTTCACTAGGCCTTATTCTGACAAAATTGGAACAGGGAATAAATGATAATAATAAAAAAATGTAGATACTAAAATGTTCAACTGTTGAATTGCCTTGTTAAAGCTCTGTCCACATTATTAAAGTTTCTTTGACGACAAAAAAAAAAAAAAAATTTAATGACGACAAAAAAAAAAAAAAAAAAAAAAAAAAAAAACTGTTGTATGCCCATATATACAACAGTATATGATATGATGCCCATGATGTGCCTATATATGATCATGATGTGATGTCATCATCACCATATTTAGGCATGTCACATGTTTTTGTAAAATAAAATTTGATAGTCTCGGCATGGCTTTAGCGACTGGTACTATTTTAGTAGTGTTAAAAGTCCAAAGGCCTGTTTGGTGGATTTGAACCCATGACCTGAATATAAAGAAGTTTTCGTGGCATGCAACGAAGCTTCTTAACCACACCAATTATTATTACTCTGATACCTCACTACAGTAGTATATCCAGGTCATAATTCCAATACAAGTTAACTTTCTTCACATTATATAGGCCTATCTGTTATATTAATGACGAAAACCTAAATTACAATTTTGGATTTTAGGCCTTACCTGTGATCCTTCCTAGTTTCGGGTTAAGTTGACGCTCGCCAGCGTATCCGGCAACATGGGCTCCAAGACTATGACCAATCACGTGTACTTTATCCGCTGTGTAGCCATATAATTCCTGTAACACAGACATTGTGCTTGATTAGTATATAATCTGAATTAGGCCTATGTCAAGCCCAAGCACTTTGCATTAGGCCCGGGCATTGTCGATTTTGTATTGCATTATTATTATTATTATTATAATTATATATTTTTTCTACTACAACATAGGCCTAAATATCTTGAGTGAGCGATCCGCAATCAGCTGGCTTTGAATTATATACTTAGTTATTTACCTATTCAAAAAAGCTTGTTAGAACCATTGACACATGATGATGTAAATAATTATATACTGTATGTATGTAAATATATTTGAATAATTATAATAAATAATGATTATATATTATACTTGGAGGAAACACTGAAGTGTTTGCAATTGTTTGAAAACTTAGAGCTGCTTCAGATTTTCTGCATATTTTATGTCGTATTATTGAAGTTTTGTGTGTATTTAATTACACGGAGGTCGAGCTATGAATCAGGGGAAGCTATTGTTGTTGTCTTGTAAACTTCATCACTGTAAACTGTACCTTAAATTTGTCAAGCAGATATGATATCTCAGCTCCGACAATTCTAGTGTTGGCACTAGACTGGCCGTACAATTCACGCGCACCCGGCCCCCAACCGACTCGGATGACATTGAAATTTCCATTGTTTAGGAACTCTGTCATCATGTCCTCTAGCCACCAAACGTTCCCCGACTCCATAAACCCGTGCGTCATAATCTTCGTCTCCAGAGAAGGGTCGAAAAACGATCCGGTAATCGTGGACAGATCGTTAGTTTTTAGTTGTTGGTAATGGGTCGGGTTCTGTCGAGTGTTTAGAAGGAATTTGGTTCCTACTTGATCTCTAGTGTCCGGGAGGTAACTAATTGGTCTATCTGGCATGTCGTAAAATGGGGAACCTTTATCGAAGCAGCCAATATCATCATAGCAGACTACACTTGATTTACCTGCAGGAGAAATACGGCGTAATTTGAACATAATTTTAAAATAATTATGAAGAGCGTAGTAGGCCTATGCGCTTGACCGAGAGTACGGTACTAATACAGTTGGACCTTTCGTAAGCGAACACCCTCGAGTCCAGGGTACATTAAGTGATCGTTTTCAAAAGGTGTTCCATTTGGAGACATGATACCAACATTTAATTAGTTTACCTCGTGTACCCAAGTAAAGATACGGTAGTCAATACTTTTACAACATTATGTAATCTTACTATCTTAATGTAGGTTTTTGTCATACCATTTAAAAATATTCATAATGGTAAACATTTCAGCCAACAGATAAACGTGGCTTGTCAGTGAGAGAAATTGTATTACAGTAATATAAACAACTTACAAAGAGAGGAGGCCCAAATTAATGATACATTGGGAATATCAGAACAAAGTATTTATTAATTTATACCTATTTATTATTATTAGTGTTATTATTAAAAGTAATTTAATGGTATGACTTTCATAGCAGGCAGAATTTCCAGTAAATATGAACATCAACATCAACAGATGAGGCCCATTACGTTAAGTTATATTAAGCTATCATCATAACTTATAGAGATAGCACCTGGCTTTTATAATTTTACTCAAGCCACTAATTCCATGTGCAGTATGGTCAGTGTTGGTCAATGTTGACCGTAATGAAAGATAACTTACCGAAGAACCAATGACGTCTGCTATTTGAATATTTGATAGTGGATAACAGCACAACATATATTGCCAGTGTTTTCAAAGTCATGATTTTGATCATGATTGCCGTCTTAGCTAGGCCGCTGTTGAAAACATTAGACCTATCACACTCACGCGTGTGAAACTTTATAAGCAACAGCTTCTGTCGCTGCCAGTAAGTTGTGCGTTATCAAATACAGTATGTCATTAGACAAGAAGGATGTTAATATTCAGGCATGTGAACCAATAATACGTCACTAATCATTTAGTTTATCCTGTATATTCTATTATGACGTATCTTGGAGTAATTCTATCAAACAATTTGAAATCTTGAAGAAACCATATTGAAGAAATAACTAGCAAATGTCAAAAGGACGTCATTACGTTCCAGATTTTATCGTCCTCGTTCACTCGAAAGCTACCTAGTAGTACTGTCTATACAAAATATTTGAATTACTATTTATTGGCTTCTATATGAGAGTTAGAACAAGAAAATATTTTCCTCGCCCTTTAACATACTAGAATTTTTGTAGTAAAATGGTCTGTAAGTCAGTAAACTGTCTCATTGCGGTTTATACGTAATGTATATTGTTTTGAATATAGGGTTATGGTGCATTTTGTATTACATTATTTATGTTAGGGAGGGGAAGAACCTTAATTATTAGTTCTGTAAGTTTTCTTATGCTTGGTAATTTTATTGTTTTTGGTTTTATCATTTTTAGTCTAAGTATGTTTTTGTTTTCATGGATGCACCTTCTTCTTTTGAAGTGTGCCACTGTTTCAAAAGTGTATATCTAAATAAATAAATAAATAAATAAACGTACAGTTACTTTTTGTGAACGTGAATATGTCATTTCATTGTTTAAATTAAAGGTTTGAGATATTCTTTTTATAATAGACCAGACACAGTATAATTTTAAATGTGTAAGCATATTGCTTCTGTTATGTTTAAAGAAGAAATATTTAAAAAAAACTTCTAACATGCTTCATACTGCTTCAGTCATCTGAATACGGCCTTTTTATATACTGGCATGTTTTCATTATAAGTGATCATTATATTATTATGATTTTAGGTATTTTAATTGCAATATAAAGTAAAATTAGTTTAGCATCCCTCAGCTGTTAAACAATGATAAATATGTGGCGTCAAGTAAAATCTGTATTCTTCTTAATGTATAAACGTCAGTGTCTTGAATTAGCCAAAAAAAAAACTATACTACGGTTATTCCCATCAGCTTTATTTACTTCAGCTCGGTGCGTGTTTTTTTCGAATGTCGTGGGCTCTCACTAATTGTTCAGGGCATATTTTAATTCCTCTTTTCATAAAAACATTATTTTTTACAAAATGTCTAATTCACTTATTCACGTGTTAGAAAATTATTGTTATATTAATTAATTAATTAATTAATTAATTCGTTAGTTAGTTTAATTAATTATTTAATTAATTGATTGATTGATTGATTGATTGATTGATTCATTTATTGATTCATTCATTTATTTTTTCATTCATTCATTCATTCATTCAATCATTTATTTTTTCATTCATTCAATCATTCATTCATTAATTTATTCATTCATTCTGACTCACACTCTTTCATTCATTCATTCATTCATTTATTCATTCATTCATACATACATTCATTCATTCATTCTGACTCACACTCTTCATTCATTCATTCATTCATTTATTCATTCATTCATACATACATTCATTCATTCATTCTGACTCACACTCTTCATTCATTCATTCTGACTCACACTCTTTCATTCATTCATTCATTCTGACTCACACTCTTTCATTCATTCATTCATTCTGACTCACACTCTTTCATTCATTCATTCATTCTGACTCACACTCTTTCATTCATTCATTCATTCAATCATTTAATTATTCTTTTAGAACATTCAATTATTAATTTACTCATTCAAAATATTTATTCATTTATTTTTTATTCATCAATCCATCCATGCGTATACATACATTTATACATTTATTAATCGAAAAATTAATTTGTTCAGTAATTCGTTTGTTCATGGATACAGTCATTTGTTTACTCATATAGTCATTGTTAGCACAATTAAATATGTATTACGCTTTAAAATGCTTGAATTAATAATCAACATCAACCGTTCTTGAGCATTGTACATACAGTAGGCCTAATAAGAAAACAAACTTACTATTAAGAATGCTATACCATCATGTTTATTTATTGTACCAATGTGAAGCAATGTTTTTGAATCAGACTGTTCGTAAACTACATCAATCCACAAATATTATAATTATTAATATCTTCAGTAAAGGTTGGTTTTTGTAGTAATAATTGAAGAAATTCATTTGGATCAATTGATTAAAATGCTAATAGAATATAATAGCAAAACATGTAAGTCGGTTTTCAGTGTTTTATATAAATATTTATTGGATCATCGAAGAGAACTAAACCATTCCAAATATTTTTAGTAATAACTATGAATTTACGGGCCTAACTCAGAATATATTTGGTGGTAGGTGTAATTCCTGCTGCCTTAAGGTATCTTTATTTGCAGTCTGTTACAGAGAAAAAGGGCCTCACATCTTTGTTCGCTTCGATTTCTTTGGTATCGCCACACATGGTATAGCTGTAATAAAAATAATCAATAATTGGTTTTAATCAATGATCGATACTACACAAAAATGGACACAAAGGCGGTATCAAGATGATTTAACTAAATTATTTTATTTATGCCTCATGACGTTAAGTATTTTTAGTGGCTTAACATTTCTCCTTCAATGCATGATGAAAGAGTTTTCCATCCAGAGATAGGATGTCTTAAAGCGCGTAGCCAAATCTTTTTTCTATGTGCTTCCTCTGACAGATAAAATGCACGGAACGCACGTGCGTGATGCAACGAGTAGTAAGCAATTATGTAATTCATTATATCGAAATTTTAAAGGTATAGATAAGTCAGCCAATTAATTACAGTATAGATTTTTGTCTTCTAGACATTCGAACTTGTCAACATTACTTACGTGTTTCCGGTATGTCCTGATTTCATTAGGATTTTGTGAACGTAAATTTTAGGGTTGTTCCATAAATCCCAGTCCCAAAACTTATACCAGTCTGGATCGTATTCCCATTCAAAGTAAAGCCCAGATAATTTACCCGGATCTACGGCTGACATAGCCACAACCTTTATTTGTTCGTCTGGTGTAATGTACAACGATTCACTAAAAAAAGACAGTTGTTATCATTATACTATATTTTCTATAGACTCACCCGCAAAGGTATAGGAATATTGCCTTGCTGCATCTCCTTCTCATTCTACATCGTTATCATTATCATCTCCTCTACTTCCCTCCTTTAAGGTTATTCTCCTTAAAACAGTCATTATTATCTTCTTATCAACATCTGACTTCTCTCCATCATCTGTAGCTCATCCTTCTCACCACCATCATCTCATCGTTATATTCTATCTCTTGTTACTTTTCTTCTTGGTCATTATTATCACCATCATTCTCATCATCCTTAACATCATCATGATCAATTTCTTTTTCTTCCCTTCTCTATTTTTTTATACTCCTTTTCCACTTCAGAAAGTTCTTTTTCTTACCATTTCTCATTCTATATTCCTCGCCCCCTCTTCCACCTCCCCTTGTCATCATCGTCATTGTCAATAAAAAAAAAAAAAAAAAAAAAAAAAAATAATAATAATAATAATAATTTGCCTCATCATCATCATCATCATTTTAATAATAATAATAATTATTATTATTTTATTTATTTATTTTATTTTATTTATTTTTTATAGTTCTACTTAAAAGAGGCCTTCTATTATTATATTTCATTTTCACTATATAGTATGTTACTTGTGTTTTATATAAAGTATAACTTATGTGATGTTTCATTTATAAATTATGTGATTATGGAAATAAAAAGCTTGGCAAAGAAAAAAAAAATCATCATCATTATCATCATCATCAGTGGCAGCAGCTTCTTATACAAGCAGTGGTAATGTTGTTGATTACCTGGTCAGCTGTATGCGTTGTGATTGACTATCAGACCCTACTAGCGTTACGAAAATGACGCCCTTCTCACTGTCGCCCTTCAGCCAACCGGGATTATCGATGTAGACGACAAAATGATACTGATAACCTATAAAATGTCAATAAAATACCTTTTATGTTATGTAAGTAGTTGACGATTACAATGAAATTACAATGAGACAATGAATATGGTGGTAGTGATGACGATGATGATAATAATAATGACGCTTGTAATTACATTGACACCCTGACATTTACTATGACGATGACGCTGATATAAAAATTACAATGGTAATGATAATGACAATAATAACGACAATGATTCCAATAAAATTAATGATAGTGATAACAATAACAATAAATATGATAACAATAACAACAAACATAACAATAATTTTTTTTTTTCTATTACACTACCAGCTAATTTCCCATATGTAGCTGAATAGAATATCCGATTTCCGGTTTCAGGGGCAGCGTATACGTCAGAATTATATCCCATCTCAACTTTAGAACCTTGTTCAAAAATGTCTCCGTCTAGGAAAGCCTGGTATGCAACTTTGCCATAGCCGTAATTTTTGCTATCAAATGCGGTGAAAGGATCTTTGCTGTTAATAGAAGCCAGGTAAAGATCGATAGCCCTGTAGTGATCACAGAATCCGTATTGGACACCACCTATTAATAAATGATTATTAATAAATCACTATCAAATGATTATAAATAAGGTAGATAAATAAGGTATAGATTTCTTTATTCATCTTTTATGAAGACGGTATAGGCCTAATTGTATTATTTAATTTAAAATTTGCGAATACCTTGATAAAGTTCGCCTTCTAAAACTATATTTTCAATCAAACCGTTATCACATCCGGGTTGCTGTCTACCACCATTTGGATAGAAGTCCATATGTCCAACCGGCATGTAAATGCCCATACCTTCAAAACGAATTAAAAAGTATGCTTAAATCAAATTAATATAGTACTTTTAAAATGTGATTTACTTCAAATTTGAATTCAAATTTACAAATATTAAAAATCGGCAAACAGGACCTCTTACTAATATCACATCAAAAATGGATTAAAATAAGAAAGTACTTAATCTGGCATATACACTAATGCTACTTCTTAAACTTATATAT